TTGCAAAGCAGGGACCCCCTCCTCCCTCCCCAGTTACTTGCAAGGCAGGGACCTCCGCCCCCTCCTCTCTCATCCCAACTCATTGCAAAGCAGGGACCTCTCCTCCCTCCTCAAAGTCTGACCCCTGGGAGAGAGGACCAATGCCCCCATCACCCACCCACCCCTCAAAAAAAGGGGGGGGAAAGGACAGAGCATGCGCATCCTCGGGGGCGGGGTGGTGGGGCACTCACATCTTCAGCTGCACGTTCAGGTCCAGATCGCAGCTGTACACATAGTAGAACTTCTCCGTTTCCCCCATGGCGGCTGGTGCGCCAACCCTCCCGCTGCTCTGTCATCGGCAACCAGCTGATGCCTTCGCACGCCTCCCTCCCCCCGCGCCCTTCCCCAGCCGTCCAATCCGCGGCGGGAGGCGCTCCCAGGGGCGCGTCCTCATTGGAGCGCGCGCGCGCGCGCGCCCCGCCCATTCCAACGTCCGAGAAAGGGCAACGACAACCCTTTTCCTCGTTGCGGGTCGGCTTTCTTTTGCCCTACGCTAAGATGGCGAGCGGCGTTGTACGGAAGAAGGGCGTGGGGAGAGGAGGGAGGGGAAAGATGGCCGCGCCCACAGGAAATGGACCAAGATGGCACCGCCCTGGGGTTTTGTTTTTTTTCCGTACAAAGAGAGAAGAATTTGGACCCCCCCAAAAAATGCGGTTTAATATACTGGGTGAGGTGGAGTTTGTTTCCTTTTCGTCCGCAGATATTTTTTTTTTCTAAGTCGGTTTATGAACTTTGCACTTCCAGAAGCTGGGACCGTCTAAAGCAGTTTCGGGGGGCTGGGGAGGTTAAAATCTTTTTTAAAAAATAAATATTATTTTATTCAAAGTTTTAAGAGGCAAGAGGAAAATGGAATAGAAACTAAAATAATCTAAGAAGGAAAAAAGAAAAAGGAATAACAGATGAAGGGGAATTGAACGGAATAGTTTTTAGTTAGTTAAAGAGAGAGACAGGATAGATAGATGCTAGAGATGGATGGATGGATGGATGATAGATGATAGATAAATGATAGATATATGATGGATGGATGGATAGATGATAGATGGATGGATAGATAGATAAAAGATGGATGGATGGATGATAGATGATAGATAAATGATAGATGATAGATGGATGGATAGATAAAAGATAGATGGATGGATGGATGATAGATGATAGAAAAATGATAGATAGATGATAGATGGATGATAGATGGATAGATGATAGATAGATGATAGATAGATAGATAGATAGATAGATAGATAGATAGATAGATAGATAGATCAGAAAGCTCAAACTGCCCAAGGAGCTGCTGATCCAGTTCTACAGAGGAATTACTGAGTCCGTCATCTGCACCTCTATAACTGTCTGGTTTGGTTCTGCAACCCAACAGGACAGACACAGGCTTCAGAGGATAATTAGGACTGCAGAAAAAAACAATTACTACCAACCTGCCTTCCATCGAAGATCTCTATACTGCACAGGTCAAAAAGAGGGCTGTGAAAATATCTACAGACCCCTCACACCCTGGACATAAACTGTTTCAACTCCTTCCCTCAAAATAACACTATAGAGCACTGCACACCAGAACAACTAGACACAAGACAGTTTTTCCCCCGAATGCCATCACTCTGCTAAACAAATAATTCCCTCAACACTGTCCAACTATTTACAAAGTCTGCATTACTATTACTATTAGTCTGCTCATCACTCTTTATCACCCATCTCCTCTCACTTGTGACTGTATGACTGTAACTTTATCGCTTGTATCCTAACGATTTACATTGACTGTTTCCTAGTATGACTTGATTGCTTATTGTACCCTATGACTATTATTAACTGTTGCACCTTATGATTCTTGACGAATGTATCTTTTATTTTATGTATACTGAAAACATTTGCACCAAGACAAATTCCTTGTGTGTCCAATCACACTTGGCCAATAAAGTATTCTATTCTATTTCAAAGCTACTTGGAAGGCAGTCCCTAACCCTAAATGATTGCATTATTAAGATTTTTGCATAGACATTCTGGAGGTCTATGTGTTTCCTTGAACGTTTCATTGCTACATAACCTAATTTTTTTTGTATGTGTGTATGTATGTATTCATTTATTAAATTTATTTGCCACCCATCTTAACCACAGGGTGATTCTGGGCATTAAACAATAAAGAGGAATTTATAACAAAGCTGGACCTGCCTGCAGCTTTTTATTATGAAATATTATTATTCTACAAGACAAACATCGTGTAGCCCATGATGCAAATGTTATTCTTCAACAAAGAAACAATTAATGACTTCTGAGATGGTCAAATATCTCGCCAAACACAGCTTGCATTGTTGAATAAATATTTCAGCATCTAATTGCTAAACACCCCTCAACGTTAAGGTAAAAGATAATGAATTCTGAGCTCTCCCTCCATGTTTTTATTGTGAAATGCTAAAATCGCACTGTAAAGGAAAAATTGAAGCAATGCTTATGCTGTAAGTTCACAAATGCATTGTTACAGTCTCTGATTTTCCACGCTGATGAGAGGTTGCTCGTGTGATATTATATTGAGTGTGGAACGTGAATGGAAAATAAGTATTGTGGACATGAATTGCTATTCAAATATTTGCTTTGCTTAGAAACATACAAGAAGAAAACCTGTGAGTAGAATCTTAACAAAGGTAAGCTGTGGGAAATTTAACCATGCCTTATGTCAGATGGGGAGGAGAGAAAAAAAAAACTTTTTGGGAGTGAAGCTGCATCAAATGTTTTTGATGAATCAGATTAGAAAGGCTGTGCTACTAACACATGGGTGGGATCAGATTTTTCTGCATTCTTTCCTTCCTTCCACCTTCCCTTCCTCTTTTCTTTCCTTCCTTGTTTCTTTTACCTTCCTTCATTTCCCTTCCTTCTTTCTCCCTCCTTCATCCCTGCTTCCTGCCACCCTACCTTCTATAATCCCCCTGTCTCTCCATTCCTTATTTCCTTCTCTCCTTCCTTCCCTTCTTCCTTTCTCCTTCCATCCTCCTTGCTTCATGCCACCCTCGCTCTCTTCTACTCTTCCTCCTCCCTCCTCTCTCCTGCCTCTTTCTCTTTTTCTTTCTTTCTCTCTCCTCTCCTTTTTCATTTCATTTTATTTCTTGCTCCTCCCTCCCTCCTTTCCTTCCTTTCCCTTCCTTCTTTATCCTTCCTTCTTCCCTCCATCTCTCTCTCTTTCTTTCTCCCCTTCCTTCCTTTTTCATTTCATTTTATTTCTTGCTCCTCCTCCTCCCTTCTTTCTTTCCTTTCTCTTTCTTTTTTCTCCCTCACTCCATCTCCACTTCCTTCCTCCCTCCCTTGCTCCCTCCCTTATTTATATTTATTTGAAAAAATCTATATAGCTTCCATGCTTCTAACCAACTCTGGATGACTCCCCATCAAAAGTTAAAACAGCTACATTTGAAATCTCAGAGACACTAATGCACAAAATCATTTGAACAACTCTACAGTTCAACACACTCTCCCCCCGCCCTGAAAATAATAAACAGTGTATAACTTGCCCTGAATTTATTTGGCCTTCTACATAAAGCTTCAGACCATTTGTACAGGTATCCAAGTGTGTATTTGGAAAGCAAAAACGGGTGGTTGATGTCATTAAATCAAGAATCTGCAACTCCCTCTTGATCTATTTCGGCTGTGAAAATATCTTTCCTTCCAAGATAATCTGTAACTCTCTTCGACTTGCAAAAAAAAGCCACAAATGTGGTTTCTACATTTGAGAAAGCCAACTGCATGTTTGTCTGTGGTGATAAATTGATACAGATTTGCACGTACAAATGTTCTTTGTTTGGATGACTTGAGATAACAATGCAAGTATTTTATATCTCCATCAAGGGTGACATTAATATCATCAGGATATTTTTTCCCATCAGACAGTTTTACACCTTCCAAAGATCGGATCTCTATGCAATATTTTATATGTATATGTTTTCTCAGGTTGGTTTCAAGTCTATCCAGAAGAATAAAAGATCTCAGTCAAAAGTTATCTCTGGAAGAGAAAGTCTTCCATCAGCTTTGTGGCTTTTTGCTTCCTTTTATTCTTTCTTTTCTATTCATACACATATAGTTTACATTAGGAAGATTTCTTTTGCATCTAATTATACCAAAGATGCCATAAAGAAGAGGAGGTCAAGCTATTCTCCAAAGCACCTGAAGGCAGGACAAGAAGCAATGGATGGAAACTAACCAAGGACAGAAGCAACTTAGAACTAAGGAGAAATTTCCTGAAAGTGAGAATAATTAATCAGTGGAGCAACTTACCTCCAGAAGTTGTGGATGCTCCAACACTGGAAGTTTTTTTTTTTTTTTAATAAAGTTTTATTTGGGTTTTCACACATACAAAATACAAGTAAAACATCTTTTTTGAAAATAGCATGGTCCCGGGTTGAACTTCTTTATACAGACACAAAACTCAATTTCATGTTCCTTTTTGTAGTCTATTCCATATCTTATACTATTTTACATTTTCTATATAGTTTTTCCCCCTCTTTTAATTTTCTCAATTTTATTTTGATTATCTCATCTCAATTCAAATCATTATATTTATACTTTTGTCTGTTCTGTTTCAATTTCATATTATCTTTTCTCATTAAACAAATTTTCTCCTGTAGTTACTAATTGGAGTATGATACCTTTATATCTTTTAATTACATCCATTCAACTCTTATTTAAACTTCAATATATACTTAAGTTTATGACCTTCAGTATAATACATAATACATAACTTCCAATCAAATTCTGCTTGGTACATTCTTATAATACACACTATATTCTTTAAAAAAAAAAAAAAAGAAAGATTGTAAATATATGTAATTATAAACCCTCATTCCATTCCAGTTCAGTTCTATCATTAATAATCATTAAAATCTTAACATCTTTAACACTTCTTTTCAATTAAATATCATACTTCCTTAAAAACACATATAATCTCCATAATTAATTTTCCCTTATTTCTCTTCACATATGTTTTATAAATCATTAAATATACCTATTGTTACATTTATTTATTGACAAGCATTCCACTGAATTACAATAGTTATTTTATCAGACATTTTAATCATACATTGTTTCATATTTTCTAAAATTATTTCTGTTTCTAATATAACCATACTATCTTATGTACCTTTGCAGAATCCCTTTTTCCATTAAGTTTTCACCCATTATCTCTAAATAGACCCTGTTTCTCTATATTTTGCTTCTGTCCTTTATAACTTCTTTTCCTTTCTTTCTTCCCTCTCATCTTCTCCCTCCCCTTTTTACCCCCTTGTCTCTCTAGTTCTAATTCTCTCTTCTGCATTTCCCTCTTCTGTTGCTTTCTCATTTTATA